TTCACTTTCTCCTGTTGAATGCAAAAAGAAAACCATTTGAGTAAGCTGATTGAAAAGATGATATTTAATAGACACGGATGATGTAAAAAGACTGACCGGACTAATCCCAAGTAGCTTTTGATTTGCAAGTGCTACAACCTGTGATAAAAGTCAGTTCAGTAAAACTTCGCCATCACAACAAATGTTTGTCTATTCTTTAGGGGAAGAAGATGGATTCACTTACTGCAAATGCTTCATTGATCTCATAGAAATCAACTTGAGAAGGTTCCAAACCAGCATGTGCAATAGCTTTTGGTATTGCAAGAGCAGGAGCAGTAGTGAAAAACTCTGGTTCCTGCAAGGTTTGGATCTCACTTAGTGAATGAAACAAAACATCTAAAATGTTGCATTATTTTACAAGTAATGTACCTGAGCTGCATCACCATAACCTTTGACTTTCGCAAGGACTTGAAGTCCTAGCTGAAGCGCCTTCTCACCACTCACTAGGACAAGAGCAGCTGCACCATCACTGTCAAAGGAAAACAAAAATTTGATTAAGAAAAAAAAAACAGAAGTTAAAACACTAAATGAGAATATAACCTTATGCTAGAGGCATTTCCAGCTGTAACAGTGCCTCCACTCTCCTTGAAACTCGGACGGAGTTTCCTCAGTTTTGCAGCATCAAACTGAGATATCAATACATCATACAAGTAGCAAAAGCATACTAGATATCAATACATAATACTTGCATATATCAAGTTCATGTTCACTAGAGAACATATATCAAGGCATTAATGTATGTATAATCTATATAACCAAAAGTGTACACAACTCACCTTCCCAAGACCTTCGTCCTTGTCAACAATAGTTGATGGCCTACCCCTTCCTCCTGAAACTTCAACCTGTATGACCAACGTCTCATTAATGTATTCACCGGGATGACATCAACAAAAGAGGATATAAAAGTATACTAACCGGAACGATTTCCCATGTGAAGGCTCCAGCTTCTTGAGCAGCAATACCACGCTCAAAACTCTGAACAGCGTAGTCATCCTGCATATTCATAAGTAGTAAACCAACCAACTAGTTAATGTTTCGCGTTTCAATGAAACCTAATTTTGATAGATGAAAAAATTAAGGAACAACATACTTGCTGCTCTCTAGTTATCTCAAACTTCTCAGCACATAACTCTGCACAACTTCCCATCCCACAGTCATTGTATACATCCCATAGTCCATCCTTAAGCATCCCATCTACTAAAGAATCATGACCAAACCGAGATCCTTTCCTACATAAAAAAAATTTGAATAAGAAACATGTAATGGATATATACATAGACTATGATCATTTTTTTACCTTGCTTCTGCTAGATATTTTGGTGTATTAGACATGCTTTCCATACCACCCGCGACGACTACATCATTGATCCCTAGTTGGATACTCTGAGCAGCAACCATAACGGCTGAAACCACACAGAAAACATTGTCTCACTCATCTTAAAACTGTCAAAATATATATAAAGAAACAGAGCTCTCACCTTTCATCCCTGAAGCACAAACTTTGTTAACTGTGGTACAGATAACAGAGTTAGAGATCCCTGCACCTAAAGCAGCTTGACGAGCAGGAGCTTGACCCAAATTAGCACTAAGAACATTGCCAAACACAACTTCTTGGACGAGAGATGGGTCAACATTGGCCCTCTTCAGAGCAGCTGGTCACAGTAAAGCAAATACAAGTCAACTACATAAGCCTATACAATAAAAAAAGGTTTTTCTGAATAACAAAGGTTCGGGACTACCACAGATCCGAAACCGCATCTAAGAGCATGATTAACCCGGGGTTCTTAGCGGAACTTAAAACTATTTCTTAACTTTTAACCAAAAAAACTAAGAACCGATTCTTAAATAAGGACTTTAAGAACGAATTCTTAAATAAAGACTTTAAGAACTGATTTTTAAATAAGGACTTTAAGAAGAGATTTGTAAATAAATATTTTAAGAACCAATTCTTAAATAAGTACTTTAAGAGTATAATTAACTCCGGGTTCTTAAAGCGGGGTTTGTAGCGGAAGTTAAAAAACTGTTTCTTAACTTTTAACTAAAAACGTTAAGAACCGGTTCTTAAAATCCTTATTTAAGAACCGGTTCTTAAAATCCTTATTTAAGAACCAATTCTAAGCGTTTTTAGTTAACAGTTAAGAAACAGTTTCTTAACTTCCGCTAAGAACCCCGGTTAATCGTGGTCTAAGAACATGTTCTTTTCTTTAAGTTAAAATTAAAAAACAGTCTCTTAACTTCCGTTAAAAACTCCACTTTAAGGATCCGAGGTGGAAAAATAACTGTTTTAAGGAATCAGACCTGCAATGGCTACGGATCCAAGCTTTGTGGCGGGTAAGGACGAGAGAGATCCAAGAAAGCCACCCATTGGAGTGCGTGCAACACCGACAATGCAAACATCTGTTTCACCAACATTCCTTTATTTAAAACAGAAAGTTCCATCAGGAAGATAAAGAGTTTGTTGTAAAAAAAGATAAATACCTCTGGGATTAACGGAATCTGCTGAATGAGCCATCAGAAATCTACACAATGGAGTCGAAGGGTTGAAACTTTTAATGCAGAGAAAGTCAAGAAGAGACTCTTTCTCATTCAAAGAGACAGATCGATTAATAAGGTTGACGAGAAATAAGGAGATCTAATGGGATCGCTTACCTTATACTTCAGTTCTGAGAGAGCGCGCGAAGGACGGAGGGAAGGTGACTTGTTGTTCTGTACTGTATATATGATAACGACACTCAATTCTACAATATAATTGGAACAGAGAGAGAGAGAGAAAGAGTCTTATAGAAACAGAGTGTCTTCGTTGGTGAATGAGCGTCGATAACTACGATGAAGCGCAACACGACGGATATGTGATCTCAACAATCTTGTTTTTTTTTAAAATATTTAAGTTATTGTATATTTATCCAACCAACCCCTTGTTTTTACATAAATTGTTCCAAAAGTAATCTGTTTCAGAAGAATTGTTAGGTAATTAACATGAAACTATAGATATTTACCCGCGCGGTTGTGCGGTATTACTTTCAATTTTATATACATATGTTATTTATTTTGTGAATATATATTTTTAACGTTGAACATATATTTAAATGTTTATAGAAATGTATTGTTAGTTTTAAGATGTTCTTATGTATTAAGAGAATGAAAATGAAAATTAAATATGGTTGTTAAGATTTTATTATACAAATACAAAAGATAAGGTTACAACTTTTCTAATGAAGAGTCCATTTTTAAAAAAATCACACATGAAAAGAAGTCGTGACTTGTCTTTTAATATAATAGACTTTAGTTATCTAAGGGAATCATTCATATATGCCAGGTATTATTTTCGTTTTGGGGTTAATATTTGTGGCAACTCTTTGACAAACAAATTAGATCATAATTTTTCCTTTTTTTTGTAAATTAGGCAGGATATGTAAAACTTATTTTTCAAAAAAATTTATTATTAGATTAAAATTTAGTTTCAATATTGGTAAAAATATAATTAGTTATGATAGTTAATTATCAATGACAAACTCGGAAAACTAGAATAAGAAGAAGAAAGAGGTGACTGCATGGCATGACCGCATCTGAACTAAGTTTAATGAAACATTTGTTTAGATTTTTATTATTTTTTAAAAAGCTACATTAAAATAGATCTCCAAAGTTGTAAAAAAAAATTCTCAAAATTGTTAAAAATAATTTTCCTTATTAAACTTTTTGTTAAATCGTCTAAAATTCCCAAAATCTTAGAGTTTTTCCAGTCGTGTGATGAAAATTTATTGTTAATTTCTTAAAACACGGTTTGTTTTCTCTCAAAACTATTAAAAATTGCTATTTGAGTTAACCAATTCAACATGCAAAATCAAATCGTTTACTCATGCATCAGCTAAGCTGATACAAGAAGAAGAAGAGTAGGCCACCACGTCTGAGTTTGAGATTGAGCTTGCTAGATCTGCTACTAACCAGCCCTTGTATTTGATCAAAAGTGTAGATATCACAACTCCAACACTCCCTATTGTGTCTGCTAAAACATGAATGAAGAGAGTTATTTTGTGATTCTGTTGATTCAACCAAAACTTCATGCGTTCGGTTTTACCTAACAGAACTAAACCGTAACCAAATTAAAAATGGTTAAAACCAAAAACTGCGTTCTCTAAGGTGGTGTTATTTAATCATGTATTTTAATAGAGTTTAAATCTAAATACAATTGATGATTCTAAATTCTATTTTAAAATTTAGTGTTATCCAATGAATGATTTAAATTTAGTTTTTAAAATCTAATGTTATTCAACTTTTAAAGATTTTAAAATTCTTTGATTTTAAATTGATTTCAAATCATTTTCTATGGATTCCATAAACAAATGAGTGAATTCAAAATCCAAAACATATTGCAGAGATTTTAGAATCTATCAATTTAAGCTTTTTTAAAATTTTAAATTTTGATGGATTACAAAACATTAATAAGATGATGTTATTCAATCATGTATTTTAAAATAGTTTAAATCTAAACACAATTCATTGTTATTCAATTGATGATTCTAAATTATATTTAAAAATTCAGTGTTGTTTATTATATGATTGAATTTCAGGTTTTAAAATCTGGTGTTATTCAACTTTTAAGGCTTTTAAAATTCGTTGTAATATAAATGGATTTCAAATCATCAGTGATAGATTCTAATGAATGAATGATTAAATTCAAAATTCAAGGAGTATTGCAGAGATTTTAGAATCCATACAATCTTAAAATTGAAAATTTGATAGATTGTAAAATATTTGAAAATTGATTTAAAAACACTTATCGACTAACACCTCGTAAATTTATGAGGTGATTCGGTGGATTTAACCAAAAAATTTAATCAATTTGGTTACCGAATTAAACCGGATCCTAATTGGTTATCGCATATTTTCAATTATTTTTATTTTAAACAAAAACTTCCGTTTAATTAGAGCAAAAGGTTTAAAGGATACAAAACCCTATCTCCCTGTCCTGTCCTAAAACTCCACAGAGAGCCGCCATCAAAAAACCAAAACTCATCGACTAAAAAAAAATGTCCACCGGAGATGAAACTCACACGTCCGTAGCCGAGAGAGGCACAAGAAAGAGAAGAGTCGGCTCAAAGAACGGTGGAAAGTCAAAAAACAAGAAGCAAAAGTCCCAACCTCCTTCCTCCGACAGGTTCAAGCTCACACAGAAGAAGAAAAAGCTCTTTCAGAAGAGAGCGCGTGACTACAACTCAGACGAAGAAGAAGAAGATGAACCGAAGAAGGCACCAGAAGTAACCATCCGTGAGAAGATCTTCACGGATGCTAACATGGGACCGAACTACGATGAGATCGTAGAGGATGAAGATGATGAGGACAAGGATGAGGGTTCTGATGGAGAGGATCACGGGGAGATTCAATCTGGTATCACTAGGTTTGGTGATGATGATGGATGTAATGCTTTTAAGATGGCTTTTAAAGCTATTATGAAGAGTAAAGGAGATGATGCTTTGGTGAGATATCTCTATTTTATTTTCTCTATTTAAGACAGTAAATGTATTTAAAATTAATGTTCAAAATTGCTAGGTGGTGATTAGTTGTTAGATATAGTTTTTTTTGTAGACAATACTCCCTCTGTTTCATATATGTTAAGTGTGTTGTAGAGAATTTTTTGTGTTACAAAATAAGTGTTATTTTAGTTTTCAATGCAAAATTTATTAATTTTATTATGTAATTAGTTTTTCTATTGGTTAAAATATGTTTAAGTGTATAGTTAACTGTGTTTTTCTCTAGGAAATATGTAAAATTAATTATTTTCTTAATCCGTGTGCATAGCTGTAGAGTGACACTTATAATGAAACAGAGGAAGTAACTAAAAAATTTCTGTTTCAAAAAATTGTTTTGTGGTGAACCGATTTTTAGAACATTGATTAAAATTGTTGTGTTGGGGTTTGTGTAAACAGGGACCTGTTTTATCAGCACATAAGCATCTTGTAGCTCAGAAGCTAGCTGATGAGGAAGCTGAGAAGAAGGCTAAGGGTCAGGCTAGAAAGGCCAAACATTTGGTATGGTTTTGGTTTGCATACACTTCACTATTCTTGTTTTTTTTGTGCGTTTTTGATTTTGATGATGAGTTACTGTAACAATGTGGTTTAAGGTTGCTGAGAAAGGACATGTTAAACCTGCAAACCATTTGGAGTCTCATGAGAAGATTCTTATAGGTGTTGCCACTAAAGGAGGTAAGGTTTCCTCAATTTTGAATATTTTTTTGTGTTTTTTATTTATTACTAACTCTGTTTATGTTACATGAACTCCTGGAATCACAGTGGTCAAGCTTTTTAATGCTGTAAGTTTGTTTCTACTTCTGTTTAGCTTGTTTAGTCTTATGAAAGTGGTTCTTCTGATTAGAACCTTTGTTTTTTTCTTTGAATAGGTAAACAAGGCTCAACATGCTCAGAAGGGTTTGAATGCTTCAAGGTCAAAGGATGCTAAAGGTAGAGTCTTTAGATATTTAGCATGAATCTTTCAGTGTCTAATGTCTTACTCTTGTCCTCTAAATCTGTATTTTGTGTTCTGTTGGAACATCCAATAGTGTTAAAGAAGCGAAGAAAGGAAGCATTCTTCTCTGAGTTGGGGAAAACACCTAGAACAGACTCCAAGGTTTGACATACTCTTACATTATCTCCTACTCTCTATCTGAATATGCTTTATACTTCACCTTTGGACAAACGTATAAGCAAGTTAGTGTTCTGTCCTGATATGTCTTATATAGAGAGAATTAATGAAAGAATCATCTTCATTAGTGAGAGCTATTAGCAAAAGTATTAGCTATAAGTGTATTCTTGGTAATTTAGTAATGACATTCTGTGGGATGGTACAGGCTCAAAAATCTTCAAATACCAATGAAGACGAAGCTCCTGCATGGGCTCCTCTACGTGATAATTACATGTTAGCAAACCCAAAGCTGAAAGACTGGGACAAAAAACAGGTATCATTTCATTCTTATCCTCAGTTCTGGAACCACCTTGCTTGCATATACTCTTTGCCTGAGACTTGGAATTGAATTGTCTGCAGGAAGCAAGCGAGGGAGATGATTTTGCTGCTATGTCAGGAGATGAGAGCTATGAAGACTGAGTGTTACCAAATTGTTTGTAGTAGTACGGACAGCTTTTTTTGATCAATATGAATGCAGTTTTTTTGGTAGTGACAAAAGGAACTAGAAAGCAAGATAATGTAATATCAAAGAGATAAAAAGGGGTTATAATTATTGTGGTTGGCTTTGAAAAATAGTATAATCATTAACCAATACAGAACTATATAATAGAACATGGCCTCTCTTGTACTGTAGTTTCCTACATGATTGCTAATAGAACAAAATGTCAAGGATATTGCTCTTCAGCCTAGTGAAAGCTTCACTGTCAAGTCATATGCTAAAGAAGCAGAAGCACGAGCCCTGTAAAGCAAGCAAAGATGAAGCTTTTGAGGTAAAAAACTGGCGATTCCAAACTGCCGCTAGTTACATCTCTTTGTCTGATATCACCACTTTGTAGTTCTTCATTATTTTTAGGTTTGTTGCATCCTATTCCTCCCTAGCTTTTTGCTAGGGCTGCGAAGGATGATTTTGGATAGGACCGTTCGGTTCCAAATATATCACTTATAGAGGAATCATATTCAAATATTCAAATAGTACTTGGTAGAATTTCGGTTTGGATTCGGATCGGTTCCATTCTAATTTGGGTATACAATTTTTTTTGTCAATTAGTTCGGATATACAACTTTATATCCAAAATATTATGTTTTTATTTATTTATCTACTAGGTGATTCTTTCGTGCTCATGCGCAGATACAAACATTTACGTAATAATTCAATCATAAGAATTCTTAAAAAAAATTGTTTATTTATAAATTTTAATTTACTGTGTAATCTCTATAATATTATTTGAGAAGTCAGTTTCCTACGTGTCGCGCTCACGTTAACTCTCGCGGTGGTTGATTACATAGATACCCTTAATGAATTGTTAGATTTTAAGATTATTATTAATTTTTTATTTAGTTTTTTTTACCTTTTTCCAAATAACATATATAATAAAAAGGAAATATTTCTAAAATTTTAAAAAAATTTAAAAACGAAAATATATATATAATATGACTTTATTAAAAAGGAAAGTTCACAAAATAGTGATACCCCCATTAATATATATTTTTAAATAACATAAAAATATATTTTCAAAATAATAAAAATATATATGTTTATGAACATTCAAAAATTTATCAGTTACACTTTATTTTCTAATAATTTTTAAAATCAACATATAATTTGATAAATATTATGAAAATACATGTATATTTAAGTGATAAATAAAATTAATTTGATTTGACGTAACTAAAATAAAGAGTAAATAAATATTATGAAAATACATATATAATTAAGCGATAATAATATGATTTGACTTAACTAAAATAAAAAGTAATTATACTTCAATTTTAATAGAATAGATATATTTAACTCAACATACTCACAAAATGAATGACTCGACTAATCTAATTTATATCCAATTAAAAATCTAACTACAATAAAAACTTATAATTTTATAACAATAATAATAATATATTAATTTTATACATATAAATTAGAGGTTGACTCAAAGCATATTAAAAAGAAAAAGAAAATATTAACTAATTACAATTTAATTCTTTTGTAGAATTTGTATATATGCATGAGACTTCAAAATATTATCATTATATTCATTTATGTAATTTTGAATCAAACAATTCAGCTTATTATTTATTTCATTTTAAGCCAATATATAATAAGTTATACATAATTTAACTATAATATATTTACATATCTAAGACAATAACCAACCGAAATGAAAATAAGAAAATTAATCAAAGTTTTATTATATTTAGAATATAAAATATTCTAGCTGAATTCGAAAAATAAATATTATCCAATATACCAAATTGATAACCAAACCGATTATTGATCAAAAAAATAATTAAACCGAGAATAATATATCCAAAGTCATATGTATAATTAGAATAATATAATATTTATTAATATAAATTATACATATAATTTATTTAAAACTAAAACTAAATAACAATCAAATATTATTAAATTTTACTTTTATTCATACACGTGCATGAGCACGGGAAAATCACCTAGTTTATATGTATTTTCTAAGAAATCTCCAACAAAAATACTATCCCTTTTTCGGTCTAGAGTGGGAGAATCGCTTGATTTGATTGTTTAAAGAAGGGTCGGTTATTCATATTTTAGTATATTGGATTATATCAATTTTTTAAAAAGTGAATCACAATTTTAAGGTCACATTTAGACTAAAATAAGAACATCTTCTTAATTAGATGTTTTTTTTTAATTTTACCTTATGATTATAGTTTTATTTTTAAGATTATTTATAATTTGATATATGTTCTTTTTGATAAAATTAAAAAACGGAACTGTTGACAACTTTTGTTATAAAATTTTATTTTAATCAAAATATATAGATCATAAGAAATATTATTTATCTTGTTGCAGCCTCACATTTTAAATATTTATTTGGTTTAAAATAATCATAAGATATTATTTTTAAAATATATTAATTTTTAATTAGTTACTTATTTGCATATGGTGGGTGTTGTCTTAGATATGTAAATATATTTTAGGAAAATTATGTATAACTTAAGATATATTGTGCTTAGAATGAATTAAAAATTAACTAAAGTGTCTGATTCCAAAATACGTAAATTTAAATAACGAAAATATTCTAAAGTCTCATGGATATATATAAATTTTACAAAAGAACTAAAATTGTAAGAGTTGGTTAGTATTTATTTTTATTTGTTAACATGTTTTGAGTTATCATATGATCAATAAAAGGTTACATGCATTTATAAATTCTAAATAACTTTATGCTTTAGATTTATTGAATGTAAACTGAAATTTATTTTANGGTTAGTATTTATTTTTATTTGTTAACATGTTTTGAGTTATCATATGATCAATAAAAGGTTACATGCATTTATAAATTCTAAATAACTTTATGCTTTAGATTTATTGAATGTAAACTGAAATTTATTTTAAATAATCTTAAATTGAGAATTCAGATTTGCTTTGATATTTTGATTATGGTTATATTTAGTTTCACAAACGTAAACCATAAAATTTAAAACAATTAATATTAATAAAATAAATAATTTTAATAATGATAAAATATCATATATCTAGCTCATTAGAACAATTATTTTGACCAAACTATGTTTATTGTTAAATTTATTTTTAGTTTTTAATATCTCTTAAAAATAAGCACTACACAAAATGTGATTGTATTTGAAAATAATATTATATAAGTAAAATATAAGTTCTAGATAATTTTCTTTAATTGAAAGATATTATAGTCAACTAAATATATGAAAAAGAAATAAAAATTCAATAATACTAATTATAAACTATTTTATTATTCTAAATGTATATTTTATGTTATTTAAAAATATTTTTAAATGTATTATTACTATTTTGTAAACTTTCCTTTTTATGAAATTATATTATATATACATACTTTATGTTATTTAAAAATATTTTAAATGTATTATTATTATTTTGTCAACTTCCTTTTTATGAAATCATATTATATATACATATATTTTCGTTTAAAATTTGTTTTTTATGACTTTATAAAAAATGCTTTTTTATTACATATCTTTTTGGAAATTTTTGAAAAGGAAAAACTAAAAATAAAAGAATTAATAATAATAGTTTCAACTATTTTTAATTCATTAAGGGTATCAATGTAATCAACCATCGTGAGAATGAACGTGAGAACGACACATAAGAAACTGACTTCTCAAATAATATTATAGAGATATCTTTATAGAAATAAAAGGAAATAGTATATTTCATATTTGACTAAAACAATACTTCTCAAAATGTATGTTTGTGCTATTATATATACTAATAATGTTTGGAGAAAAAATATAAAATATTAAAGAGTATATTTTATATTGATATTAAAAATGGCTATCACAATGAAGACTTTAATCACATTTTGTTTTACAATCTTTTTCATCGTATCTTCTTTTCATTGTGGTACTATAGCTACCGCTGCTACTCCAGGTAATGGCTTATCATTATGCCCCCCCCCCCCCCCCCCCCCCCATTTCAAAATATTTTGATTAATTAATATGTATTGATTCAAATTAGTTTTTTCATATAAAGGTTATGGAGAAATAAAGCAGGTAGTATGCTTCGACTTTTCGAGACCGTGTGATTATAATGGGCAAGATGGTTGCGATTTGTTTTGTCTTGATTGGGGTTATATTAGAGGTCACTGTGTTCCAAGAAAATGTTGTTGTGAAAAATAAGTATGTGTCCCAGATAATTTTTTTCCCAATAACTATGTATCCAAGATCAAATCACATATTCAAATGTATTGGTATTGTTTGAATAATAATATTAATAATTTTCATTCGTTTTAAATATCTATACAAAAAATCTTGAATGAAATAAACAAAATTTACCTACTGAAATCAGTTTTGCTGAAATTTGAGTAATATTTGTTTTTAAATGAAGAAAAATATATAGAAAAAGAGAATCAAAACCTAATTAATATCCTGAACAAATACTTTACTCAATAATAGCAAAGTTCTTGAGCAAGTGCATAAGAGTTTCGCCAAAATGGTGATGCTTAGGCAAGATCGTTAATGTTTTTTTATAAGTTTGTTCAATAAACGAATGATACAGTTGAGAATAGAGAGATAAGTTTTTTTAGTTTTGGCACAAGAAGGAGCAAATGAGCGAGACTGAGAGAGCCAGAGAAAATGTTGAGAAGTTATTTAATGGAACACCGGGAAAGAAGGAATCTATATTTGATACATGTTAATATTGACGACGTAGGTAAACATCTCTTTTGAAGTTCGAACAAAACATAACCACAAGATGGTGGTATAGTGGTAGGTAAACTTTGGGATTTGCTAAGAAATCCGGGTTCGAAGGTATCCCACTACATCTTATTTTGTGGCCACGTATATATGGATATATCTTATAGCTCATTTGAATAATCCGAAGTGACGGTACTTTTGGGATTAGTCTAGGCCTCTTTATAGATCTAGGATACCCCCAAGATTAAAAAAAAAACAAAACATATGTAAACACAATAAAATGACTTTTTTTGTTTAGCTTCTCAAAACCTCACGGTTTCAGCATCCCTTTAACTCTCTCTCATATCTATTTTACAATGCACAAATTGTATACATGTCGTGGGAACTATAAGAGCTAAAAGTTTTTATATCATAGACTATACACACTTTTTTATACATGTCAAGTTTCAAATACATCATCATATAGTCAGGACAACCTTTGAGATTTGGGGTGGGGGGGGGGGCTCATATGAAATTTATTAAATATTTTTAACTATTTTTTATATAAATTTAGAGGCCTAAATTTTTTTTTGAAACTTAAACTTACGTAATTTTATTGAAATAATTTGAGGCCTAAAATCAATATTTCAATCGGTTTTATCTATGTCCAGTCTGCATAAAGCAAAATTTGAACGTCACAAGAAGAACTAACCCCATTCTTAAAAGTTGTACCGTCTTAATGGTTTTTGTCTTCTTCAAATACTTTAAAATCTAACCCGATTATATGATCAGTTCATGGTCAAATTTGGTCTAACCAATCGGTCTGGTTTCAAAAAAAAATTTAGGAGAGATCAAATATCTTTGGATTTACAATGTACTCAAAGATCATTTGATGTTTTTTACATATATCTCTTTCAATTAAAAATAAAATTTACTTAAATTTCACTCGAGTAAATTTTGTTTATTCATTCAAGATTTCATGTATATATATTTAATGTGTGAAAAATATTGATCTTAATTTCAAAAAAAATCTTAATACGTTTGATTAGATGAGTTCATCCGAGAGACATACTTATTGGAAAAAATCTTGGACACAGACTTATCTTTCACAACAACATTTTCTAACAGCACAATGTCCTAATTTATAACCCCATTTCCTACAAAACTCGTCGCAACCTATTATCCCTCTATGTTCACACGGTACCGAGGTGTCGAAGCATATTACCACCTTCATTCCTTCATAACCTATTTATATGAAAAAATAATATACATCAATACATATTAATTAATCAAAATATTTTAAAATGTGTTTACAAAGATAAACCATTACCCGAAGTATCAGCGGTAGCTGTAGTACCAGAAGACACGATGAAAAAGATAGTAAAAACATATGTGATTAAAGTCTTCACTCTGATGGCCATTTCTAATATCAATTTTGATATCAATATAAGATATTCTCTTAAACTTTTTATGATTTTTCTTCACACATTCTGAGTATATATAATAGAACAAATATACATTTTAAGAAGTATTTTCTTAGTCAAATATAAATTATTTCTCTCCTTTTATTTCTATAAAGAATTTTAGTCATAACATAAATGTATTTTCTTAATCAACTATAAAATATACTCTTTCTTTTTATTTCTCTAAAGATATTTTGTCATAACAGACACATAAAATTACGGTACGTAATGTATATGTTTGAACAATGGTGTGATACTTATTTGGTAAACATAAGCTATCTAAGAATTGCCTAAAGAACTGCGAAAAATATCAAAACAAATAATCAAATTCTAATATTAAAACTTAGACGATTAAACTGAACAACAAAAACAGCAAAAAGTTACAAGACACTAATGCATTTTCATTGAGATGTTCTCACTAGAATAATCTCATACCACAAAACACTAAGTAAATTACTAATATCCGTAAATCCTTTGTGTATCAATATTTGATTTGTTTCGTAGAATTGGGGATATCGAAAAAAATTATGTCTGAATCAGAACATATAACTGAATCAAATTTTACAGATATTTTGTGCAACAAAACCGACATGCAGTCTATGTCTATTTTTTAAATAATTGTGCACTCTTTCTCTTTGATCTTCAGAATTTGACTGTTTTCTTGCACTATTTTTTAAACACAATAAATGACTTCTTTATTTAGCTCCTCAAAACCTCCACGATTTCAATGTCCATCTACCTCTCTCTTATATCTCTTTTACATGCACAAATTGGACTGAATTGGATACTTGTCGTGGGAACCATAAGAGCTAGAAGTTCTTATATCATAGGCTGATACACACTTTTTTATCATTGGTCAAATCTCAAATACATCATCACATAGCTAAAATATTTATAACTGATTAGATTCACAATATCTGGCGTAATTTGAAGGCGGTATATAAATAGGTACTCAAGAAAAAGAAAAAGAAATAGGTGTATGTATGCATGTGTTAATATGACTTCTCTGACACGTTATAAGATTAGCATTTTCAAAATGCAGCAAAAAGATCCTCTTAATGAATGGTGACAAAAGCCGAGCCAAAGCAATGACACAAAAGCAGATCTTCTCAAAAAGAATGTAACCAAATCTAGATCTCCAAAGAAATAAGATGAGAAGAAGAATGCAAGGACAGAAGAAGGTGACAAAAAGATGGGAACAGAAATCAAGATGAGGAAGAAAAAAACATGCCATGTTATCCATGGCCTCATAGATATGGTGTGCCTTCCTCCTTACCATACCCGTGTCATCCCCACAATTATATAGGGAAACCAGTTTACAATCACGAACCCAAATTGCACACACAATCATGTTAAATGGGGTTTTCAGAGGAAGTTTAACATAAGAAATAAATAAAAATAGTTTACCTCTTATCAAAAATGAACTCACACTACATTGTATACATGAGCTAGTTTCTTCTTAACGAACAAGCTAATCTCTAACCTACAAACCATCTTAGCTTAACCATCTATTAACATAGGGTTGATCCTAAGATTTTAAGGACTATAAACAATTTAGTATATAATAATGTAGAACTTCTATGATTATGTTTATAAAAAAGACTTCTATGATTATGTAATTTCGAAGTTTACGTTAACGTTTCACTTGTTTACTACCTATCCTAAGATTTTAAGGACTATAAACAGTTTAGTAAAATTTTATTTATAATAAAATATAGAATTTCGATGATTATGTTGATGACCCATCCTGACATCTCCACCACCGTTTACACTGACAATTGGAACTTTAGTATGGAATTTCAGTCGAGTTTGAAAATATGATATCTTTGGATTTTCTTTACTTTTGTAAACATTCTCTGACTCATGCTCCCAAATAATTGCTCTCCCCTCACTTTCAAGTTTCGCAAACTGATAAACTAAAAAGTTACCAATATACCCTTTGTTTTCAAGACTAGCCAAGAAAACGTAAACCCAAATAAAAAGGGGCTGTAATATAATTTCAAAAAACTAACGGTTCCCGAGACCCCATCGCAAACTAAAATAAAATAAAATAAAATAATATTATTTGTTTTACTTTCCTACAATAGCAAGACAAAGCAGAGTCCCTTACTCCCACTCCAGTTCTGCTGTTTAGCCTTCGATCTTGTCCCTATTTCAGATTTGATCTCAAACTCTCATAAACACAGATAGAAAGAGAGATACTACAATGGCTTCTATGGCTTCAACTAGAGTTCTAAAGATCGTACCACCTACGTCTTCGACGGTTCCGATGAGGACTCTTTCCTTCTCATCCTCTGTAAGTTTCTCCAACGAGAACCTTTCTCTCAAAGCCACCGTGTCACACCGCAAGGGATCCATTGCAAGAAATCCAATGATCGTGTCTCCTAAGGCGGTCTCAGACTCTCAGAACTCACAGACTTGTCTCGACCCTGATGCGAGCAGTGTGAGTATAATCTTTCTTTACTCCTCTTCCTCATCTGCTTGTAGCTTAATGAGTATTGTTTTCCATGAGCAGAGTGTGTTGGGAATCATCTTAGGAGGAGGTGCTGGAACTCGTCTCTATCCTCTCACCAAAAAGAGAGCAAAACCAGCTGTTCCTCTCGGTGCAAACTATAGACTCATTGACATTCCCGTCAGCAACTGTCTGAACAGTAACGTGAACAAAATCTACGTCCTTACACAGTTCAACTCCGCGTCGCTTAACCGCCATCTTTCACGAGCTTACGCCACTAACATGGGAGGTTACAAGAATGAAGGCTTTGTTGAAGTCCTCGCCGCTCAACAAAGTCCTGAAAACCCCAACTGGTTCCAGGGGACAGCTGATGCGGTGAGGCAGTACTTGTGGCTGTTCGAGGAGCATAATGTTCTTGAGTATCTGATTCTTGCTGGGGATCATTTGTATCGAATGGACTATGAGAAGTTTATTCAAGCACATAGAGAGACTGATGCTGATATCACGGTGGCTGCGTTACCAATGGACGAGGGGAGAGCCACTGCTTTTGGGTTGATGAAGATTGATGAGGAAGGACGTATTGTTGAGTTTGCTGAAAAGCCAAAGGGTGAGCAACTAAAGGCCATGAAGGTAAAAGAATTATCATTAGGGCGTGCAGACCAACTTGTTTTGATTTTTGTGGCTTTTGACTAGGTTGACACAACGATTCTTGGTCTTGATGATAAGAGAGCCAAGGAGATGCCTTACATAGCTAGTATGGGGATTTATGTTGTTAGCAAAGATGTGATGCTTGAATTACTACGGAATAAGTTTCCTGGAGCTAATGACTTTGGTAGTGAAGTCATTCCTGGTGCCACTTCCCTTGGACTGAGGGTAACTGCTTTGGCTACTACTTGTTAGCTTCTGCAGGTTTGAAGGTGCTATGCAGAAGCCAAAACCTGCTAACTGTGATGATGTTTTGCAGGTGCAAGCTTACCTATATGATGGATACTGGGAAGACATCGGTACTATAGAGGCATTCTATAACGCAAATCTTGGAATCACCAAGAAACCGGTTCCTGATTTTAGGTACAGCAACCATAATAAGTGAAATATTCACACACTACTGTACCTGAATGATGTCTTAACTTGCAGCTTCTATGATCGTTCGGCTCCGATATACACACAGCCACGTTACTTACCACCGTCTAAGATGCTAGATGCTGATGTCACAGACAGTGTCATCGGAGAAGGCTGTGTAATCAAGGTAAAAAAATCAAATAGATCCTCTTTGATATGCTTTACAACAACAACACAGAACGACCAAAATGTTCTGAAACTTTGGATTCAGAACTGTAAGATTCATCACTCAGTGGTGGGACTCCGTTCCTGCATATCAGAAGGTGCTATTATTGAAGACTCGTTACTAATGGGAGCTGACTATTACGAGGTAAAATGCAGCATCCCCCATATGCACTTGGTCATAAAATAATGGCTTATTGTATTATTGTATTTTTATCTAGACCGCTTCGGAGAAGAGCCTCATAGCAGCGAAAGGGAGTGTACCCATAGGTATTGGAAAAGACTCACACATCAAAAGAGCCATCATTGACAAAAACGCACGTATAGGTGACAATGTCAAGGTTGGTTTTTCTATTTGCAACACACTTTGCAAGTTCCATATACAAACATTTCTTTGTTCATACTTGATCTGGTCTGAACTTGGCACAGATCATAAACAGCGACAATGTGCAAGAGGCAGCGAGAGAGACTGAAGGATATTTCATAAAGAGTGGAATTGTAACCGTTATCAAGGACGCCTTAATCCCAGCAGGCACTGTCATATAAACCACACACCTATAATATTCTCCTTTTCTTTTTTCAATTTTTATTTCTTCCTATAAACAGAGATGATGTATAAACCTATTCAATAAGTTTTCTTTGTGGCTGTTTATCCCCAAGTTGCAAATCTTATTCTCTAAATCTGTTACTTGAAAGTTGAAACTCTAAAGAAGCACCGAAAGACAGCATAGAAACAAAACTTTTGACAAATTACTTGTGAAAGAGGGCTCTAAATTTAACTTTCTTAACTAATAGCATTCAAGAACAAAGGACTAGGAGGTCTTAAAGTAGAAACCATATCTTGTTTTTGTCTATATACAGCTCAAATCTCATTTCTTCTTCACTAAGCCTTCATTCATCATCTCCTAACTGAGTCACCAATTATCGATTACATACCAGAGATTTGTGTGCTGTCTTGTTTGTTCTTTTTCCCTAATCTTGCACCAATCATGTTCCTCCATTTGTCCTTGAGATCAGCTGGAGCACGTGTTTCATGGAACACCTTCTGTCCCATTTCCAGAATTTTCCTCCATGGCATGTTCCTCTTTGATTCTGCTGCAAATTTCTCCACTCCCACCTGAGAGCCAACACATTATAAAACCATAATTCTAATCCACTTCATGAAAAGTTACAGATTAGTGTTTATACCTTCAGCATGTATTCTTCTTCAGGCGTCCACAATAGCCTCCTTTTCTGATTCTGAAATATCGAAATGTCCCTGCACATCCATGTGGTAACTTTCTACATTTAACGTAGGGTATGAGATAAGACAATGTTCATTGTTATGATTGAAAGAAGAAAAAGTAACAACCTCGCTGTTTTTGAGTTATCCACTTTGGTTGTTCTGCTATGTTCTCTCTGCTGATTCTTCATCTTCCCTGACGGGGAGGTTACTTCTAAAGCCAATGAAGTCACTTTCTCAGCTGCATCTTCTCCATTTGGTTCGTTAGTTGATCCATTTGATGAGACATCACTATCAAAAGCATTCAATATTAACCGTCTTTTTCTTCTCCGCTTCTCGTTCTGTTGGACCAGATCGTGTTCTTTTACTGAGAACGTTTCTTGCATAGACAAAAACAGTGAAGCATCTCCCCATTTCTCTCCACCTGTATTAGCTTTAGTTTTATCTTCAGCCGTTTTGTAATCCTCAGCGTCTTGAAAATTTTCTGTAGCTGCTGCCGCCCTCTCTTCGTCATTTGAATCTTCAACCTCCTCTATCACTTTACCATCTGGTTTATCAGTATGCTTCTCTTTATCCGCTTCTGATTGATTGTTTTCCTCAACCAATTCCATGTTCTCACCTCTTGATTCATCAAAATCCTTCTCACCAAGTTGCACTCGTTCCACTTTTGATGAACACGCACCCTTCTCTCCTTCTAACTCTTGACCACTTACAATGTCTGTGGTGTCCATTGCATCCTCTTGACCTTTTAAAACACTCTCCTCCACCTCTCCCTTGTTTCCCATCTCTTTGTCTAGATACTTAAACACCGCCATCTCCGCTTCAACAGCCTTCTCTTTCAACCGTATAGATCTCACTGCTAGAATCTTAAACAAGCAATAAGGACAGTACAAATTTTCAGGATCCTCACCACCACTACTACCAAACTCAGCATCCAAACACTCCCCATGAAACCAAAGAAGACACTCACTCCCAGAACACCTAGACACCAATTCATCTGAAATATCACATACAATGCAAGCCTCTAACTCCAACGGCTGAGATCCTTCTCTATCAGTCTCACTTGTCCCAAGACAGTGACGCTTCTTGCGTTGCATATTCCTTCCCTCAAAAGTATCTGTAACAACCTCAACATCAGTATCACTCTGTGGACCATAGCGTTTGTTGCTAACTCCAGAGCCACCAGCTCTTTGATTAGCTTCCTCCTCCTGTGAGAGAAATCAATTAAACAACAGAGATTACGAGTTTTGATCTTCTTAATTGATATCCTTAACCGTGACCGTTAGATCTTAGGTCCATCTTGTAGATCTATATCATCCAAAAACTATCAAGTTCACAACACAGCTATAAACAGAATCAATACGAATCGAATAGTTGAGAGATTATCAGTGTAAGAGCTAAGGAAACTACTAGAAGCTTCGATTCTTCGATTATCAATAACAGATTCAAAATTCCAAGTCATCAGGAGATCGTAACCTCTAGTTTCGATTTTAAAAAGGAGAGAGAATTACCGGAAGTGGTGCGGGAGATGGATAAGGATCGAGAGAGTTGCGCGGAGACTTAATCGGAAGTGATTTCGATCTCGTCATGATCTTCTTCAGCTTCTGCTTCTTAGAGTGTAGTGATGAACAGTGTTTGTGCGTGAGTGTATTATAGTGTTGAAGTGGAGAGAAGCGTAGTGAAGAAGATGAGTTTCGAAAATTGTTTGCGTTGGGGGAAAATGAGCCAATTTAAAATTTTATTTAATTCATGCCAAGTTTCGGTTGGTTTTTTATTGGACTTTGCTAGTTCGTTAATGTTTTCATTTATGTGAGAAATAATAACCAATATTGAATTTGATATTATTACTTTCAGTAAATAAGAAAGTAATCAAGAGGTGGGTAAACTATCCATGAAATTTAATTAGATTTTTTTTATAATGAATAATTTCTTGTCATGAACCAAGGGAAGACGTGATATAGAACATTAAGAATTCTTTAGGATAAACATTCATATTTGCTTCAAATTTGTTGTTTTTTTTCATTCAATAAAATAAATCATATTTCCATTTTAATATAATTAATACAAAATAATATTTAACTACCCGTGGTTGTCTAGTGGTTTTCACTAGAGCAGAAATTGCCATATTGATCTAGATCAGGGATCGATTTCTCTCTTGTGTGAAATTATTAGTTTCACATGTGGCTACGCGGATATTGACTATTACTTTCGGTTCATTTGAATGTCCAAGAGAACATTTATCCATAGATTGTATTTCACTAATTGGGATTATGTTTGTGTCTTTAATAGACTCATAATCATTTTTCTTAAAACAAAACCAAAAACCTTCATATTTGTTCTTTTTTGTCATTCAATAAAAATATCCTATTTCCATTTTTTATATGATTACTGAAAAATAATATTTTTTTACTTATTGTAAAAGTACAGACTTTCCATTAATAGAATTTCTAAACCGTATATTGTATACTCCTTATTAAATTAGGATTTGCATAATTCGGTAAGATAATGATTAAAGTATGTTTAGATAAACATAGATTAGATTACAGTCTGATATTATATGTAACGTGTATATGTTATATACATAGACAGAGATAAGTTGATACAATACTATATCAAAGATTCCAAAAGCTCTTCCTTTGCTTTACACTCTCCACGGAAGATGCAGAACCATAACTCCAAGATCTCTTCTCCGCCACCTAAGAACCCTTCTTCCTACCCAAGGAGATCAAAAGGTTCGTAGGTTCTCTCTCTTTCTTTTGCTTCTATTGATAGTTATAGAAACTTCAGTACTACTTTTGCTTGTAATGATATTGTTATATACAACGTCTGTGTGATTGTTTTTTCCTTTGCTTAAAGTAAGGAGTTATAATGAATATAGATTGGATTAAACAGGAGGTTCCTATAGCAAAGAGAGGGAGACAAGCCAGCCTGTTGCTACTGGTTTCCGGATGGAAGAGTCTTCTCCAAGGATTATATCTGGAGAGGGTTGCTTTACTAGTGCAGGTTATCAGCTTCTGAGGGACCTAATGTATTCTAAACTAAGTCTTTTAATCACAATATCGTCTACTAGTTATCCCATAAAGTAACTGAATCATTAATGCTTTTACATGAATTTACTTTTGTTTCCTCTGGTGTTGGGACCTAATACAAACCTATTTAATTTAAGAAGCCAAGAGTACTATTTATGTGCCTCATGTGGAACCTTTGAACTGAGCTCTAGGGTCCTTGTGTACATATGGTGAAACTAGTCTAAACATTATTAGTAGGATATTAATTAAGAGTATCATTAAAATAAGCATGCCATAAGCAGCATCTCAAGAGTTGTTAAAGTCCTCTAGAATTCATTACCAGAGTTCTAGTGTCATACTTATGCAAGTAGTTGCTATGTGTGTATGCGTGCCACATAGTCAAGAACTTTATTATGAACTGTAGGTTGGGCAGCTGCAATGCATCTATACAATGACCCTACTGTTGATCTGTCTGGTGAGTTTAAGACTCTTTAAAGATTATTTTTTTGTTTTGTATGAATTGCTTAAATCTCTGGTATAAGAATATTGTTTGTTTCTAGAATTATGATATAACAACTAAGGTCTAATTTTACAGAAAGACCTGTGATGTATCATGGTGGAGATATGTTTAGCGAGACTAAACCATTACAGATACACGCTTCAGCTAAGCAAAACATTACCTCCAACAAAGTTGCCAAGTGATTACAAAACCAAGCTCTGTCGTGAATTGTCTGATTCAAGGGTCGTCAAGTTCTAACCTGGTGCAGCGTCCACGTCCATTACATATTGAACTCTGTCGTTTTGTGTTGGGGTTTTTTATTTGTATTTTGAATATTGAGCATTCCGTGAGCTATACACTATTCTATCTGTTTATTCCGTGAGTAGGCCAAATCTTTGACTGAATTATTATTAGTAAACAATGTAGAAACACAAGAAATGCGTCCACATAGTTACTCTGTGCTTAGAGAATAGGACCTGATAATGTTATAATTTATTAACAGAAACACGTAGTCATTACTGCATAGTTATGTGTACTTTTGTTGCTCGCTTCAGTGCAAAGCTTATGCATCCATGCGCTCAAGTATATGACGAGCTTCTTCCTCTGTAGCAGGAACAACGTTACGAAGCTTAAACCCATTGTTTCTAGCCTTTGCCTCTGGCCGTACAGTGAACTTGAAGTAGAATGTATTCGAAACCTACATCATATCCAACAAAGAGACCTCAATTAGACTTCTAGAGTTTCAAATTTAATATGGTTATTTCAGGATTTGACCTCACTAGAACGAATCTCTGGGCTTGTAACATGAGCAACAACTTCAATATTAATGAGAGGACAATCCAGTTTATCCAGTTGAGTGTAGAGCACACACGATTTGAAACGTAAGAAGTCACCAACATCCACCTGTCATGCAAAGTTCATTAGTTATTATACAATAGGAGAAAGTTAACAAGAAGTGAGTTGGAATACAGACTGGTCTGAGGAAGTCAACGTGATCAACTTCTAAGAAGTAAGGCACTAGACCAGCAAATGTATAAGCTGTGGAGAAAGCCAACTCAAATGCTCTGTGCATCAAGAAACCTCCAAAGATCCTGCCGTGGATGTTCCTCTGCTGCGGTTGGCATATTAGAGAATTCTCGAGACGGGTGTCTTTAAGAAGAATGCTGTTCCTGTCTGCAAGTGCTGGCATGTCGGAGAAGATCCTTCCTTCAGCTAACAATGCTCCGAGCTTGTTATACTCCCCGTTCTCAAATTCTTTCCTCTCACCTCCTCGTTTCTTCTTCCTCAAGTTGTTCCTAGCTTCAGCTTCCTCGAATAGAACCTTCTCAAGGTCGGTTTCTGGAGAGAGGCGGTTGATGGGTGCAGCTTTACCAGTCTTAGAGTCACGCGCCACGAAAATGAAGTTAGCAGTTAGCGCAACAGAATCTGGAGAAGCTTCAACATCTTCTGAAACACAACAACAAAACAAAAGCAAGTGTTGTGATTTTCAGGACATGTTTGTAGACAACATGTAAAGCATACCGAGTTCAGATTGCATAACTTCGAGTTGAATCTCGATGGATGAGCGGCCAACCCAAATGACAGAAGCAACAATCTTGAGATCAATGTCAACACTAATAGGCTTCTTCAAAACAATCTTATCAACAGAAGCTGTAACCAGCAAGAGTGGCCTCGTTGTACTATCATCATCAGAACAGTGCTGAACCACAAATGTTACACAGAAAAAATATTCAGATTCTGGTATAAAGATAGCAACTTGAAGATAAGATCATTAACCCCAAAGCTAAAACAATGTGATATGAAACACAACCTAATCAACCAAACTACCATCAAAGACACATACTTGATTCACAAAACTTGCATCAAAACAGATAAACAATGAACCTAGGGATATATTTATCCGGAACTCAAGAACCAAAACCAAACTGAGTTTCATAAATATCCAAACATAACCTATATCTCTGGAACTGAAAAAATGAAACCAAACTAAGAACCGAATGAGTACACAAATTTTTAGATACAAATGATAAAATTAAAATATCAATTATATTTAGTTTCTAGATAATCAAATATCCTAAAAATACTAAAAACCGAATTTACCCAAAAACTTAACTTACCCAATTCCTAAATATTTAAAATTATCCAAATTATTCAACATTTTTATCGAACAAATACAAATATTCAAATTACCTAATTCCAAAATATCTTAAATTATCTAAATTATTCAACACTTTTATCGAACAACCCAAATTATCCGATATTTAACCTGAAAACACGAATTATCCAATGTTTTCACCCATATTTTTGACTGGTTAACTCGAACCGAACCGGAACCAGAAACGAATTACACCCAAATTTTTGGATATGATATTAAGCAGCTTCCTAATTTTGATACCCAAAATTAAACCCAAAACCAAAATAACCGGAAAAAAAAAATCAATCAAAATTTTTGTAAATAACCAAACGGTTCCTAAATTTCTAGAACCAAACAAACTAAAAATCTAAAAAAACCGAACCAAAATCCAACCACCATACCTAACGAACCCAAGAAAAAAAATATTTGCGATGGGGATCATATACCTTGACGGAGATGGTACCAGCCAAAGCATCAAGATCTTCTAACAAGATCCCGATACGGACCTCGTTCCAGGGATCTCTATACTGCTCGCGAAGAATATAGTCAGTGGAGAAAGGGTAGAAGATGGTGGTTCGGCTATGCGAGGGAGCCCTCGTGAGAAGCTCGCTCTGAGGAGGCGCGTCTTTAGGAGGATCGAGGAGAGACTCGAAGATCTTCGACCTCGCTTCCCATAGAGCGATGGTGACGGGAGAGTGGTACATGCCGGGCCAGAGACTCAGAGGCTTACGTGTTGTGTCGGAGGATGGTGGAGTTACGTCGAAGGGTGATGCGAAGGTTGAGACTACGGGGATGCATTTTGGTGAATTCGACTTCATTTTTTTTTGGGTGGATTTATAAGAGAAAATGGATTTGGATTTGGAGAAGGTTTCTCAGGGTGAATTGATCCAAGGAAGGGGATTGGTTGATTTGCTCCCTTGACTTTGGAGCTTCTTCTTCTTCTTGCTTTCGTGTTTTATAAGCTTGATAACTTGAGAGAGAGTCTCATCCAACACATTTCTTTTGCTTTTACCTTTCTTTCTTTTGTTGTCTGATCAAAAAAAAAAGTCGTTAGACCGGAATTAACCGAATCAAATCAATTCTAACCGAACCGGAACAAATCTTCACAAAATGAACCGTTACAACTATAAGAGAAGAGTGAAAACATCTTACTCCATTACATATTAATCATCGTTTGAATAATTATTGAGTAATTTCAAAAATACAGAAACTATTTACATATTTAATACATGTTATATGATTTTTTTAATTTTGAAATGTGTTCAATTACAAAATACCGGTTTAATCTTGTTAACTGTATAGTAGGGAAATGTCCATAATAGAGTTTACTCCATTGGAGATGCTCGAAGAGTAGGATTAATAGGGGGGGGGGAGTTCAGTGGATTGCTTAGGGAAGAGAGTTCATATAGGAGATAAAATCTGATTGCAAAAGGACCAAAATAAGCATTGTCTTTTGGTGGATGCTTGCATTATTCGTAGATCCCACAGACACGTGGTAGATTGATTCATTTTTTTTTAAATCAGACAAGAAAAAAAAATTAAGCACCCCACTAAAGGATGCTATGATTAAAGATACTCTAATAAGAATTTGCTATCTTTAGAACAAAATTTGAACTTATTAATTAACAAGTCTTAGAATTCAAAAGATACTACTACATTGCTATGAGTATTTCTGTATTGCTTTTATTTTTAAAAATATTTGTATTTGTAAAATTATTTCTGATAATTAGAAAGAGCAAAAAGAAAAAAATGAGAATAAATTTTACTATGTTTTAAGAAGAAACAAGTTTAAAGAAGTGTGGTGGTTCTTGGGTCATTGACCGCCACTTCCTAAGCTTGGTCTTCGCTCACATCCCAGCATCACTTAGGTTTACTTGAGTTCTTTGTGGTGGTGTGCGTGACAATTGTGTGCAGGTTGGACTCGGTGTGGGATGTACGGAAGTTGCAATCCTTTTTGGCTCGAAGCGGCATCGTGTATAGGTCGACTTTGAGTCTAATAAATGCTTGGTTTTGGGTGTTGCGGGTGTGCTAAGCCTCTGCTGCTGCTGTATGTTCTTGTGGGTATGTGCTATAAAGCCTCGGCGAGCTGTTCTCGAAAGGGTCATTATCTTTAAGAGCAGATCACCAGGGAGGTCAAAAATACTGGGATCCCGACTCTTGGTTTGAACTTAGCTCTTTCTTTTGTGGCAAGCTGTTGTTGCGATCTTGGTCGAGCCTCGAGGTAGTAGCCTCGGTTGTTGTGTCTGTGAGTCTTGCCTTATTCAGATTGAGTTTTGGATTGAGTTGTGTTTAGAATTTTATTTTCTGTTTCTCTGTTTCTTGTTAATCTCTGTAATTTCTGTCAAAAACAAAAAAACTGGTAATAATATCTTTATATTTTTACCAAAAAAATATGGCAAACAAAAAAAAAACAGAGAGTAAAAATACCAAACTCATTAGTACGATAAAATAAAAAGGGTAAAGAGTACTTACAAGTAAGTCAAGTTCCCGGCAGCTTCAGACAACCTCACGTGACAAAGCTATCTTTAAAGTAGGACACTCCACTTATTGACTCGAGCCACTCCGGTCGTCTGGTCGAGCCACCACAACACTCTCTCTTCTATCTCTCACATGCCTCGACTTGCATTAGTAAAAAAAAAAGAAAACAAAGACAACGAAGCAAAGTTTCAGTTATAACTCACTTTGTTTTTTTTTTTTTTTTTTGCCTCCCTTCCACTTTCCTCTTTCCTTCCACGCTGCCTTTTCCGGATTTCACTTCCCTCTTCTCTCTCGCCCTTACCCTAAAATTTTCCCGATCGCTCAAGATGGATCTACCATCTTCCGTTGCTTCTGATCTCTTCTTTTAGGAATCACTTCGTCTAGGTATATTTGTTTTCTCTTGTGGTTTGTGTATCATCTCTGTTTGCTTTTGTTTCGTCTTCGTTTTGTATCTATGGTTTGTTGGCTTTGGCAAAACATTTCTGCCAAGACTTTGAATCTTGCTCTAGAAGATAGATTGTGTGATGGATTGAGTATGTAGTGTACCACAGAATCAATTTGAAATCATCTGACTCGTGTTGTTGCTTATTTTTGCTAAAACTCATTTTGTTTTACCATGTTTTGAGTATGTTGCTAAAACTCGCGCTGTTTCAGCTTTGGTCTTTTGTGTAAGTAAAGTAACTCATTTTCTTACATAGTCATGGTTTTTACAGTTTTGCTCACGAAGCTCTCATTTTTTTACATTTTCTTTTTTTCTTTAACGAGTGATGATGTCACTGGACTCTTACATAGTCTTGGCTAATCTTCTGTTCTCTTGGTCTTGGCTTATTTTTTGTGTCTGAATTTCTTTTATTCTATTCTTCAATATGTTAAAACTGAATATTATGTAGCTCTGACATGTGTGAACCTGTGATTGTTATCGAGTATTGAGATTCTCTGTCCTCTTTTGTTGGAATCTTAATTATTATTTTTTAATTACGCTCATGTTATTCTTTTGCTTTTTGTTTTGTTTTGTTTAGGATTCTAATTTTGTACTCAATTTTCCAGCTTCTTTAGCTTTTTTCATGATGGAGGATACCAATTCAGTTGCTTCGCTCATGGACTCTACATCATCCAAGATCCAGCAGCTTCAGAAGGCCTTCGCTGAACTCGAAGGCCAGCGCGCAGTAACACTTAATATGAAATGGAAAGAACTTGAGGAGCATTTCCACGGACTTGAGAGGTCCTTAAAGAGACGTTTCCACGAGCTCGAAGATCAAGAAAAAGAATACGAAACCAAAACAAGTAAAGCACAAGCTTTACTAGAAAAAAAAATAAGGCAGGTGTTGAGGCCAAGGAGAAGGGTTCACTAGAAAGGCTTCAGAAGAAGAGAGATGCAGCCTTTTTTTTGCTATAAACAATGCGTTGGATAAATACAACAACGCTCCCATTGGTGGTGAATGTTGCAATAATTCCCTTACTGCTGTGCAAGATGATGCTGAGAAGTTTGAGGTGAAGAAGGCTTATCCAGAGTTAGTGAAACTGTGTGGGGATATGGACTCAACAGGGCTCCATAAGTTTGTATCAGATAACCGCAAGAACCTTGCGTCACTAAAGGAAGAGATTCCTCTAGCGTTCAAGGCTGCATCAAACCCGGCGAGTTTAGTGTTGGACTCTTTGGAAGGTTTTTACCCTATTGATGGATAGAAAGACGGTAACGGCTTCTTAGGAATGCGGAGGACTTGTATCATGCTATGTTCTCAGATTATATCTTTTACATGTTATGACATTTTTTTTTTTTGGGTATATATAGTGAATAACTGAACATTGTTGGTCTTAATATATGATGATGTGAACCATCCTGTTTATTGCAGGTGAGATTGGAGTTCTCTTGGACAGTGGAAGGCAGATAGATGCGGTGAACTTGGCATTCGCGTTTGAACTCACACAACAGTTCCCACCTGTTGAATCTTACTTGACTGAGGCAAAGAGATCACCTGACAATGCATCTGCTACTGTTCAGGCTAGTGTTCCCTTACTTGATGACTTGCATTAAGTGAAGGGCTGTGTTGGTCTTTATTAGTTGGATGAGTTCAAAGAGAGGGAGCTTACAAGTGTTAAAGCTGTGGTAAAGTGCATCGAAGAGCATAACCTGGAAGAGCAGTACTCAGTTGAGCCACTTCAGAAACGGATTCACGAGCTGGAGAAGGTCAAAGCGGAGAAAAAGAAAGCGACAGAACCCACAAAGCCTCAGACAAAACGACCACGTGGTGCTCAACCCCTAGTCACTGACAACAACAACAACAACAACAATAACAAGACAGGATATGGTAGAGTCATCCCTGAGAGTTATCCGCAGTATGTGTATGACAACAGACCTTTCCTTACCGGTCCAATCATGGCAGCACAAGCTCCGCCTCCTCAGACTTACACTTTCAGTCCCGTTGCTACTCATGGGAACTTCTATGGGAACTGCTATCAGTACCAGGCTCCTCCTCCTCCTTACTTTCACTAAGGTGATGGTGTTAACTTGTGGCAGCTCTTTAACCCCTCCCCTCCTACTAGTTGTTTTCCTTTGATGTTGTTGTTACTATGTACAGATGATTTTAGTATTTTAAGGATCAACCCTACTCAAAACAAAACAAAAAATTTACTCAGAATTTTCTGTTAGTTATATATATTTGTTGTATTGTTTTCTCTCTTGTTCCGTGTTGAGTGATGTATGGATTAGATCAACATTTGCTCTTAACGAATGCCTATCTGGACTAGTTTTCAGAGCGAAGTTTCTGTTGCCACAACAGCTGAGAGGAGTTAGTTTCACTCATAGTAATGGTCTACATCGTTTTAACGGCTACATCAAAGTATCAAACCCAAGCATTTGGCTACTATATAGGATGTGACGGATTTCCCCGCTACTATCCTCAAACTCAGTTTTTACGGTTAGCTGTTTAGTAACAATAACAATTACTGCTGTCTCAAATAATGATAACAACTACTATATAGTGATACGGTCAGAGATCCTTAGACCTAACAAGGCAACCACTGCCATCTCAAATAATTCAGGGACCTATTCAAAATATTTATGGACTATGTTCAAAAAATATTAGCTGTATATTTAACGATGTAATAGAATAATTTAAAAGTTTATAACTCTATTTATATATCTTTAACTTCTTGTTAGAAATTATAAGCTCTATATTTAGTATCATCAAAAAGTTTTAGACCATAAAATATAGATTTATTTTCAGAAACTTTTTAGGTTTAATTTTATTTTTAGATTTGAATCATGTTCGACCGCTCTAGTTGTTCATGCTATTAGACGGCCTTGCGTTTTTTGAGCTTTGTTTTGTTGGTCAACAAATTAAGATAAATTAACCAGAGATTTCATGCAAAGTGACTACTCTATTTTCAATTTCCAAACAACTCTGAACTATTCTTTGAATTTATATTTTACACGTCGAATCTTTGCATCATTTCAACGTTGAAGATCATTTGTAAGAAATCTCTGGTTTGATTTGATTCTTGTATCAGTCGCAGCAATGTCGCTGGTTCGGACAACATTGATCGCTTTTTTTCTAGACGCTTTNTGCAAAGTGACTACTCTATTTTCAATTTCCAAACAACTCTGAACTATTCTTTGAATTTATATTTTACACGTCGAATCTTTGCATCATTTCAACGTTGAAGATCATTTGTAAGAAATCTCTGGTTTGATTTGATTCTTGTATCAGTCGCAGCAATGTCGCTGGTTCGGACAACATTGATCGCTTTTTTTCTAGACGCTTTTTTGCTAAGCGCTGCGGCTCAGAAAAGACAGCAAAGTACTGTTAACCCTCGTGGTGCGGTTGCAACTGACGATGGAAGGTGTTCTGAGATCGGGATGCGTGTTCTTCAACAAGGAGGAAACGCTATTGATGCGTCGGTGGCCGCTGCTCTCTGTTTGGGCGTTGTGAGTCCAGCCTCTAGCGGTATAGGAGGTGGAGCATTTACAGTGGTTAAGATAGCTGGAGGGAAGGCTATTGCTTATGATTCTAGAGAAACAGCTCCTCTACGTGCCACTGAGGTAATAGCGTTTTATGAATCATAGACAACCTTTATTTTGCTCTTGGTGTAGAACGTTAGCCTCTTATCTATATATAGTACTATTTATGAATTTAGTTGGTTTATGTCTCAGCTTCTCCTTATTTTTAGATTTTTTTTTTGCCTTATTTGTCAGTATTTTCAGTAATCTACACTATTAGTAGTATTACTTATTTATTATCTGTTATATTTCTGAACTTATCTATGATGTTTTGGAACATTTTTAGTTGGTTTTTGTAAATTATAAATTAATATAACCAAAAGCATAGATTCATTGAATAATGTTCAATATACTGACAACCATATATTTAATATATACGTTAGGTTAAAAAAAATCTTGGTTATATTGAATAATGCAATATGGTTGCTTATTGTATCTTCATATACTCATTTTGGACACACACATATTAAGGTTAGATTCTCATTGACGTTTTAGAAACATAGACATTTTTTTTTTGGGTTTTTTTTGTTGATGTAGGATATGTATGGAAGCAATCCTGATCAAAAGAAGAAAGGAGCCTTAGCAGCAGGCGTACCAGGGGAAGTCGCAGGATTATTCACAGCTTGGAAAGAACACGGAAAGCTCCCATGGAAGCAGCTAGTGACTCCAGCAGAGAAACTTGCAGAAGGAGGATTCAGAATTTCAAAGTACCTCTACATGCAGTTGAACGCGACAAGAGCAGATATCTTGAAAGACAAAGGTCTCTCTGAGTTATTTGTTTCGAATAGAGAGCTCAAGAAACCAGGGACGATTGTCCATAACAGAAAATTGGCTTTTACACTCAAGCAAATAGCTGAGTATGGTCCAAAAGTGTTTTACAATGGCACGGTGGGTCTTAACCTAGCGAGCGATATTCGTAAAGCTGGTGGGATAATAACTTTGAAAGATCTGCAAAGTTATAGAGTTAAGGTTAGAGAACCATTGTCCGCAAACATTCTTGGATATGAACTAATCGGTATGCCTCCTCCTTCTTCCGGTGGCGCTGCAATGATGCTTGTAAGACTCATTTTATAGTGTGGTTTTTTTCCACATTTTATCAAAGCAGAGTTTTTTTTTTTTTTCAGTGTTCTAAAAATCGGCATAGCCGGTACTGGGCCTAAATAAAACAATCTTTATTAAACGATTTTTTTTTTTTTTTAAAGAAAGTTTAGCCTAGACATTTACAAAATCGGTCTCCTAGACCAGCTAATGATTAATTCTCTACAAAACACCAAACTAACATTGGTTTCTTGTGCTGCAGGTTTTGAACATTCTTTCTCAATATGGGATTCCATCAGGTGTTTCGGGCTCTCTTGGTATTCATAGACTAATCGAAGCTCTGAAACACACTTTCGCGGTTAGGATGAACCTTGCTGATCCNTTACAAAATCGGTCTCCTAGACCAGCTAATGATTAATTCTCTACAAAACACCAAACTAACATTGGTTTCTTGTGCTGCAGGTTTTGAACATTCTTTCTCAATATGGGATTCCATCAGGTGTTTCGGGCTCTCTTGGTATTCATAGACTAATCGAAGCTCTGAAACACACTTTCGCGGTTAGGATGAACCTTGCTGATCCGGACTTTGTAGATGTTACTAAGGTTGTTTCAGATATGCTGTCTCCAGAATTTGCAAAAGACTTGAAGACGAAGATAAACGATGACAAAACCTTTGATCCAAAATATTATGGCGGCATGTAAGGCTTTTAATCATATCTTAAACCCGCGCGCGCGCTGGTTTCTTCTTTGTTTCTTGATTTATTAATATTCGTAGGTGGAATCAAATCAACCATCATGGAACATGCCATTTCTCGGTCATAGATAGCGAGAGGAACGCTGTTTCCATGACTACTACAATAAACAATTACTTTGGGGCAGTGGTTCTATCTCCAAGCACTGGAATCATTCTAAACAATCAAATGGATGATTTCACGGTCCCAGCAAAGTCCAGGGGTGACCTAAATGTGCCCCCTCCGGCACCGGCTAGCTTCATCAGACCCGGGAAACGACCATTGTCCTCAATGTCACCCACCATTGTACTCAAGGTTTAGAAAACAAAAAACATGTTACTTGTGTTACACGAAACTATTAGTTAGGCTCTAAACAATGGGTTTTCATGCGCTTTGTTTACGTAGGACGGTAAAGTGATAGCTGCGGTGGGTGCTAGCGGTGGAGTGAACATCGTCGCCGCGACAACAGAAGTTTTCTTGAATCATTTTTTCCTTAACATGGATCCTCTTTCTTCTGTTTTGGCTCCAAGAATCTACCATCAGGTCATTTGCTTCTCTTTCTTTTCTTGTGCCCCAAGAATAATCTTTCTTGTTCATTGTCTATAACTAAAAAAATGTTTTTTTTTTTTTTGTAATTCCCTTGTGCAGCTGATACCAGACAGAGTTTCGTTTGAGAACTTGACGACAGTGTTCGGTGATCATTTCGAGATACCTAAAGAGACAAGAGTTGAGTTGGAAAAGAAAGGTCATGTTCTATCGCCGATGACCGGAGCGACGATTGTTCAGTTCATAGTTCAAGAATCCGATGGAAGCTCCGGCGGAATGAGTAAGCTCGTGGCAGTTAGTGATCCAAGGAAAGGAGGGTTCCCCTCAGGATATTGAGATTGTATTTAGTTTTGCTGCCATTGTTATTTATTGCATCCAACTTGCCATGATTATCTCAACCTTTAATTGACGAATAAAATAAATAAAATTAGTCTTGTTTTTTCTTTAGCAATAATGTTGATCCATATATATATATATATATATATTTCTACAATCTTAACATTTATATATGTTAATTCTTAATTTACATTTATATTATGACCATATTTCTACTCAAAACAAAACAAAAATTTACTCGGAATTTTTTATTAATTATATATATATTTGTTGTATTGTTTTCTCTCTTGTTCCGTGTTGAGTGATGTATGGATTAGATCAACATTTGCTCTTAACGAATGCCTATCTGGACAAGTTTTCAGAGCGAAGTTTCTGTTGCCACAACAGCTGAGAGGAGTTGGTTTCACTCATAGTAATGGTCTAAATAGTTTTAACGGCTACATATATCACACCCAAACATTTGGCAACAATAATAGTGTAAACAAACATTAAACACCATGAAGAATCCTACGTATTATATAACCTACTCTTCCACCTAATCTTTTTCTAATTAATATTAATAAAATCCTAAATATCCTTTTTAGTTTTAATTCTAGGCTGTTTCTCCCAGCATCTAGCAAACATAGTCTCCTCTTAGATCAATTCATGGGTTGGACACGTGGATGATTTATGGGTTGCTTTGCCTGAAGTTGCGGCCAAAAGGATCGATGTTGGCCAAGTTTAATCATTAAGAGATGGTTTTACTTTTGAGATGAGACGACTTCCTAAAAAAATTCATTTACTTGTAGATTTTATATCTTTGACTTGTTCCCCCTTCTATGTTGTAGGTACTTGTTGAATAAG